ACACTCATTATTTTCCCCTCCTCAAATCGGTTATCTTTTCCCAGTTTCTAACAGAAATATATTTTTCCATCCGAATAAATAACCTTGGTGTGCCTTGGGGGTGGCAGTGGTTCAAAGTTAAACGTTTCTTTAACAAACTTCTTGTGAGTGATCTTCCACTTTTTTGACGTGGGTTTTTTGGGTTCATTGGGAAAAGCGGGTTTCTCCGTCCCCAAAAATGGTGTGGGGGGGCATCTTTGTGCTGGCTGAGGGAATTTGGGTGAAAATAGGGATTTTCGTTTTCCGAATAAAAGAGGTTTGGGGGTTGTGAAGGGGGTTTTCCCAAAAAGGGTTTAAGGTTGGGGCAAAAGTTTAAGGGGTGGGGAGAGTTCTAAATATTGTCATATAAGGGTGGGGGTGATTTTTCCAAGCCAATGGGAAAATATGGTCTTATATGGGAAAATGGGATTATAAATGAAAAGTAGAGGGGTGGGCCAGTAGTGAGAGTGGGGGGGGCTAGTAGGTGAAGTGGGTGGCCAGTAGGGGAGTTTGGTGGGGCATAGTGAGAGTAGGTGGGCAGTATGAGAGTGGGGGGGTCAGTAGGGGAGAGTGGGTGGGCCAAATGGGGGTGGGTGGGCCAAAATTGGGGGGGGGGTGGGCAGTAAGTGAGGTGGGGTGGGCCAGTAAAGTAAGTGGGTGGGCCCAAAAGGAGAGTGGGGTGGGCCCGAAAGGAGAGTGGGGGCCCGTAGGGGAGAGTGGGGGGGGCCGTAGGGGAGAGTGGGGTGGGCGTGTGAGAGTTGGGGGGGGGCCTAGGTAAGTGGGGGGGGCCCTAGGGGGAGAGTGGGGGGCCAGAAGTGAATGGGGTGGGCTGTAGTAAGGGGGGTGGGCCGTGGTGAGAGGGGTGGCCAAAAGGGGGAGGGTGGGCCATAGGTGAGAGTGGGGGGGTCAGTGGGGAGAGTGGGTGGCCATAAAGGGGAGAGTGGGGGGGGCAGTAGGTAAGGGGGGGTGGGCCATGGTAAAAGGGGGTGGGCATAGGTGAAAGGTGGGTGGGCCATAAATGAAGTGGGGGGGGGGAGTGGGAGAGTGGGTGGGCTATAAAGGGGGGGAGGGGGGCCCCGTAGGGGAGAGTGGGGTGGGCCCCTAGGGGAATTTGGGTGAGTCATAGGTGAGAGGGAGTGGGCCATGGGAAGTGGGGTGGCCCGTAGGGGAAGTGGGGGGGCCGTAAGTGAGAGTGGGGTGGGCCAGTTGGTTAAGTGGGAAAAGGGGCCGTGGGGGGAGTGGGTGGGCCCGTAGGTGAAGTGGGGGGGGCCCGTAGTGGGTGGGGGGGGCAGTAGGGAGAGTGGGATGGGCCAGTGGTTGGGGTGGGGTGGCCGTAGGGGAGGGGGGGTGGGGGGGGAGTTGAAGAGGGGGTGGGCCAGTAGTAAAATGCGGTGGGCCCCGTAAAGGGGGTGGGGGGCCAGTAGGGAAGTGGGTGGGGAGAAATGAGAGTGGGGGGCCATTTTTGAAAGTGGGTGGGGAAGGGGGATTTGGGGGGGCCATAAGGAGAGTGGGTGGGCCAGTGGAGAGGGGGGGGGGCCCGTAGGTGAATGGGGGGGCCAGTGGTGAAAAGTGGGGTGGGCCATAGGTGGAGGGGTTGGGCCCGTGGTGAAGTGCGGGTGGCCCGTTTGGGAAGGGGGTGGCCATAGGTGAGAGTGGTGGGGCCCGTATTGAAGGGGGGGGGTTTTGGGGCCCGTAGGTGAGAGTGGGTGGGGCCGTTGGGAGGTGGGGTGGGCCCGTAGGGAGTGGGGTGGCCAGTTGTGAGAGTGGGGGGCCGTAAGTAGATTTGGGGGGGCCATAAGGAGATGGGGGGGCCCTAAGGAAGTGGGGGGGGAGTAGGTAGAGTGGGGTGGGCCGTAGGTAAAGTGGGGTGGGCCATAGGTGAGAGTGGGGGGGCATAGGTGGAGTGCGGAGGCCATTTGGGGAGAGTGGGGGGGCCGGGGAGAGTGTTTTGGGGCCGTATTTTGAGGGGGTGGGGGGTAGGGGAGGTGCGGTGCGCCTTGGTGGAAAGGGGTGGCCATAGGTTTAGGGGGGTGGGCCCTAGGTGAGAGTGGGGGGGGCCCCGTAGGGGAGAGTGGGGGGGGGCCAGTAGGTGAGAGTGGGGGGGCCAGTAGGTGAATGAGGGGGGCCAGTGGTGAGAGTGAGGGGGCCAGTAGGTGAGAGTGGGGTGGACCAGTAGGGGGAAAGGGGGGCCAGTAGGTGAGATGGGGGGGTCAATAGGGGAAGTGGGGGGGGCCGTAGTAAGAGTGGGGTGGGGCCGTAGGTGAAAAGGGGGGGGCCAGTAGTGAGAGTGGGGTTTTTCCAGAGGTGAATTGCGGTGGGGCCCGTTGGTGAGGTGGGTGGGCCAGTGGTTAAGTGGGTTTTGGGCCGTGGTGGAGTGGGGGGGGCCAGTAGGTGAAGTGGGGGCCAGTTTTTTTTGAAGGGGGTGGGCCATAGGGGAAGGGGGTGGCAGTAGGTGAGAGTGGGGTGGGCCAGGTGGGGGGGGTGGGCCGAGGGGAGAGTGGGGTGGGCCATAGGTAGAGGGGTGGCCAGTAGTAGAGTGGGTGGGGCCCGTAGGGGAGAGTGGGGGGGCCAAGGGGAAAAGGGGTGGGGCCCGTGGTGGGGTGGGGGGGGCAATAGGGAGAGTGGGGTGGGCCAGTAGGGAAAGTGGGGTGGGGGCCCGTAGGGGAAAAAGGGGTGGGCCAGTAAGGAAGTGGGGGGGGCCAAGAAGGGGGGTTTGGGGGAGTGTGGGGGACCCGGGTAGAGGGGTGGGGCCATTGGTGAAGTGGGGTGGGAGTGGTGAGAGGGGGGGGGCCAGTATAGAGTGGGTGGGCCAAAGGTGAGAGGGGGTTGGCAGTAGGGAAGGGGGTGGGCCAGAAATTAGAGTGGGTGGGCAAGGGGAGTGGGGTGGGCCAGTAGGGGAAAAGTGGGGTGGGGAGTAGGGAAGTGGGGGGGGCCATAAGTGAGAGGGGGGGGCCAGTAGGTGATGTGGGGGCCGTTGGTGAGATTGGGGGGGCCCGTAGGTGAGTGGGTGGGGCCCTAGTGAGGTGGGGGGGGCCAGTGGGGAGATGGGGTGCCAGTAGGGGAGAGGGGTTTGGGGCCGGGTGAGAGTGGGTGGGCAAATGGGATTGGGGGGGCCAGTGGGTGAGAGGGGGTGGGCCATTTGGTGAGAGTGGGGTTTGGCAGTAGGGGAGAGGGGTGGGCCCGTCAAAAGTGGGGGGGCAAGGGGAGGGGGTGGGCCGAGGGGAGAGGGGTGGCCCTAGTGAAGGGGGGTGGGCCAGTAAGGAAGTGGGTGGGGCCCCGTAGTGAGAGTGCGGTTGGGCCAGTAAAAGAAGTGGGGGGGCCAGAGGTTAGAGTGGGGTGGGCCAGTAGGGGAGGGGGGTGGGCCAGTTGGGAAATGGGTTGGCCAGTAGATGAGGTTGGGGGGGGCCAGTGGTGAAGTGGGGTGGGCCCTAGGTGAGGGGGCGGTGGGGCCCGTAAGTGAAGTGGGGTGGGCCAGTATGAGAGTGGGGGGGCCATAGGGAGGGGGGTGGCCCGTTTGGGGGGAAGGGGGGGGCCATAGTGGAGTCGGTGGGGAGTAATGGAGTGGGGGTGGGGCCCCGTAAATGGAAATGGGTGGGAGTAGGGGGAATGGGGGGGGGTAAAATGAGAGTGGGTGGGGAGTAGGGGAGAGTGGGGTGGGCCATAGGGGAAGTGCGGGGGGCCAGTTGGTGAGATTTGGGTGGGCCGTAGTAGAGTGGGTGGGGCCCGTGGTGAGAGTGGGTGGGCCATAGGTGAGGTGGGTGGGGGCCCGTAGGGGAAATGGGTGGGGTATGAGAGGGGTGGGCCCTTTTGGGTGGGTGGGGGGCCTGGTGGAATGGGTTGGGCCTTAGTGGGGGGTGGGCTATTGGGGGGGGGCCTAAGGGGGATTGAAATAATGGATCCCATTGGTATTCCATTTTTGATTGGGGGAAATTTTTTGAAGGGGGTGGGTCTTCCTTTGGGGTTTTTGTTTATGGCAGGGTTCCCTTTTGGATGCTGCTTTATGCCTTTGGGGTGGTTCATCTTTCTCAGTGCGCACTTGAAAACGGTTGCCCCACTGGTTCCCTTCTTCTTGAGTCGCAACTATTAGATAATTTACTGTGTGTTGAGGAAACAAGTTGCTTATAGCACCTGTGGTCTGAAGCTTACAACACCTAAGATTTAATGTATATAGAACCTATGGTTTAATGTTGTAGCACCTATGGTTTTATGTTAAGGGCAACTATGGTGCCATGAATCCCACTCTAAATACTTGCTCTCCTCTACACCTTATACTAACCACGTTCTCTCTAAACCCCACAGTAACCAGGTGGTCTCCCCCTCACACTAAGTGGTCTCCCCTACACTTCATACTAAGTGGTCTCTCCTACACTTCACACTAAGTGGTCCCTCCTACACTACACACTAAGTGGTCTCCCTACACTTTATACTAAGTGGTCTCCTCTACACCTCATACTAAGTGGTCTCCCCTACACTTCACACTAAGTGGTCTCCCCTACACTTCATACTAAGTGGTCTCCCCCATACTTCACACTAAGTGGTCTTTCCTACACTTCATACTAAGTGGTCTCCCCTACACTTCACACTAAGTGGTCTCCCCTACACTTCACACTAAGTGGTCTTCTCTACACTTCACACTAATTAGTCTTCCCTACACTTCATACTAAGTGGTCTCCCCTACACTTCATATTAAGTGGTCTCCACTACACTTCACACTAAGTGGTCTTCCTTACACTTCACACTAAGTGGTCTCCCCTACACTTCACACTAAGTGGTCTTCCCTACACTTCACACTAAGTCGTCTTCCCTACACTTCATACTAAGTGGTCTTCCCTACACTTCACACTAACCAAGTGGTCTCCCCTCACATAAACTAAGTGGTCTCCCCTCACACTAACCAAGTGGTCTCCCCTCAAACCAAGTGGTCTCCCCTCATACAAACCAAGTGGTCTCCCCTCACACTAACCAAGTGGTCTCCTCTACAGCCACTAGACCGGGATCCACCGCTGGGCCAGGCCAAGTGGCATTTGCGTGTAAGTGCCAGCGACGGTGAGCTGAGTGACGACACCGTAGTACAAGTGAACCTCAAAGATGTGAATGACAACTCTCCGTACTTCCCTGACCCCGTGCTCACTGCCACTATATGTGAGAACACTGCCCTGGGTGAGTACTTCCCTGACCCCGTGCTCCCTGCCACTATCTGTGATAACGCTGCCCTGGGTGAGTACTTACCTGACCCCGTGCTCACTGCCACTATCTGTGAGAACACTGCCCTGGGTGAGTACTTCCCTGACCCCGTGCTCACTGCCACTATCTGTGACAACACTGTCCTGGGTGAGTACTTCCCTGACCCCGTGCTCACTGCCACTATCTGTGAGAACACTGAACTGGGTGAGTACTTCCCTGACCCCGTGCTCACTGCCACTATCTGTGAGAACACTGAACTGGGTGAGTACTTCCCTGACCCCGTGCTCACTGCCACTATCTGTGAGAACACTGAACTGGGTGAGTACTTCCCTGATCCCGTGCTCACTGCCACTATCTGTGGCAACACTTCCCTGGGTGAGTACTTCTCTGACCCCGTGCTCACTGCCACTATCTGTGGCAACACTTCCCTGGGTGAGTACTTCTCTGACCCCGTGCTCACTGCCACTATCTGTGGCAACACTGCCTAATACTAGTGGTGGTGGTAGTTGTTGTTGTAGTAGTATTAGTAATAGCAGTGGTAATAGTAGTACTGTAGTGCACTGTTGTGTAGTGTACTGTAATGTAGTGTACAGAAGTGTACTGTACTGTACTGTGGTGCACTGTATTGTACTGCAGTGTACTGTAGTGTATAGTAGTGTACTGTACTGTAATGCACTGTTCTGTAGCATAGTGTAGTGCAACATACTGTACTGTGGTATAGTACACTGTACTGTTCTATGGTTTAGTGCACTATACTGTAATGTCTTATAGTTCAATGTATAAACCATACCTCGGGCGGGGTTCGAACCCGCGATCAGAGAGTAATAAAACTCCGCCCGTGGTATGGTTTGTTTTCTACCGTGTCATAACGATTTTATGAGTCAGGTCAATGTATGTACTGTACTCTGCTGTAGTGCACTGTACTCTGCTGTAGTGCACTATACTGTGCTGTAGTGCACTGTACTCTGCTGTAGTGCACTGTACTCTGCTGTAGTGCACTGTACTCTGCTGTAGTGCACTGTACTCTGCTGTAGTGCACTGTACTCTGCTGTAGTGCACTATACTGTGCTGTAGTGCACTGTACTCTGCTGTAGTGCACTGTACTTCTGCTGTAGTGCACTGTACTCTGCTGTAGTGCACTGTACTCTGCTGTAGTGCACTATACTGTGCTGTAGTGCACTGTACTCTGCTGTAGTGCACTGTACTCTGCTGTAGTGCACTGTACTCTGCTGTAGTGCACTGTACTCTGCTGTAGTGCACTGTACTCTGCTGTAGTGCACTATACTGTGCTGTAGTGCACTGTACTCTGCTGTAGTGCACTATACTGTGCTGTAGTGCACTGTACTGTACAGAAATGTAATGTTCTGCACTGTACCCTCCTGTAGCGTACTGTTCTGAAGTGTACTGTAGTGTCCTGTGCAGTACTGTCCTCTATTGTGCCGTCCTGTAGTGTGCTGTACTGTTCTGTACTCTCCTCAGGACATGTAGTACTCTGCCCGCAGTACTCTGCCCGCAGTACTCTGCCCGCAGTACTCTGCCCGCAGTACTCTGCCCGCAGTACTCTGCCCGCAGTACTCTGCCCGCAGTACTCTGCCCGCAGTACTCTGCCCGCAGTACTCTGCCCGCAGTACTCTGCCCGCAGTACTCTGCCCGCAGTACTCTGCGCCAGTTCTATAATACAGCTTTCTCCCTGAACACTTTAAAGAGAGCAGAAGTATCATTGTTGTTATTATTATTATTATTATTATCATTATTATTATTATTATTATAACTATTATTAATATTATTATTATTATTATTATTATTATTATTATTATTATTATTATATTATTATTATTATATATTATTATTATTATTATTATTACTGTTTATTATTATTATTATTATTATTATTATTATTATTATTATTATTATTATTATTATTATTATTATTATTATTATTGTTACGCAGAAGATGAGATTTTCTTTGACATATATCTCCGCAGTTTATATACACTATATATATTTTACTGTATATTCACCGTCCACAATTTATACACATATCGACAATTTATTCTCACTATCAAGACAGCTCATCGCCAAGTTCAAGGTTTTTGTGAGCATAATTGTAGTGTAAATGAGAATATTTTAAAAAAATGCTACCATGACATTGGTTCTTGTTTACCACCATGACAGATCGACACCATGCCTAACCCTTCTAGGGTAGGGTAGGTGCCTGAGCCCGAGCCTTTAGCTCATAAGACTGTCATTCCCGTTTACCCCCTTGGGGCGGGGATGGCAGACCAGAGAGGCCTAGCTTGTGGCTAGGCCTGGGGACAGTTGGTCCCAAAGATGAGGAGGTACTTGTGCCTCCTCCCATGGGGGACTTAGGTCTCAGACACTCCCTACAGAGGGAGCCAAGGCCGGGCCACCACTTGGACAAGGCCCGGGCCGGGAGAATACCGGCTAATCTTTAACTAACTAACTAACCACCATGACACTGGTTCTTGTTTACCACCATGACACTGGTTCTTGTTTACCACCATGACACTGGTTCTTGTTTACCACCATGACACTGATTCTTGTTTACTACCATGACACTGATTCTTGTTTACTACCATGACACTGGTTCTTGTTTACCACCACGACACTGATTCTTGTTTACCACCATGACACTGATTCTTGTTTACTACCATGACACTGATTCTTGTTTACTACCATGACACTGGTTCTTGTTTACCACCACGACACTGATTCTTGTTTACTACCATGACACTGATTCTTGTTTACTACCATGACACTGGTTCTTGTTTACTACCATGACACTGGTTCTTGTTTACCACCATGACACTGATTCTTGTTTACTACCATGACACTGGTTCTTGTTTACTACCATGACACTGGTTCTTGTTTACCACCACGACACTGGTTCTTGTTTACTACCACGACACTGATTCTTGTTTACTACATGACACTGATTCTTGTTTACTACCATGACACTGGGTTTTTGATTACTACCATGACACTGGTTCTTGTTTACCACCATGACACTGATTCTTGTTTACTACCATGACACTGATTCTTGTTTACTACCATGACACTGGTTTTTGTTTACCACCATGACACTGATTCTTGTTTACTACCATGACACTGATTCTTGTTTACTACCATGACACTGGTTCTTGTTTACCACCATGACACTGATTCTTGTTTACTACCGTGACACTGGTTCTTGTTTACTACCATGACACTGGTTCTTGTTTACTACCATGACGCTGGTTCTTGTTATCTACCATGACACTGGTTCTTGTTTACTTCCATGACACTGGTCCTTGTTTACTACCATGACACTGGTTCTTGTTTACTTCCATGACGCTGCTTCTTGTTTACTACCATGACACTGGTTCTTGTTTATTACCATGACACTGGTTCTTGTTTACTACCGTGACACTGGTTCTTGTTTACTACCATAACACTGGTTCTTGTTTACTACCATGACGCTGGTTCTTGTTAGCTACCATGACACTGGTTCTTGTTTACTTCCATGACACTGGTTCTTGTTTACTACCATGACACTGGTTCTTGTTTACTACCATGACACTGGTTCTTGTTTACTACCATGACACTGGTTCTTGTTTATTACCATGACACTGGTTCTTGTTTACTACCGTGACACTGGTTCTTCTTTACTACAATGACCCTGGTTCTTGTTTACTACCATGAAACTGGTTCTTGTTTACTACGATATCACTGGTTCTTGTTAACTACCATGACACTGGTTCTTGTTTACTTCCGTGACACTGATCCTTGTTTACTACCATGACACTGGTACTTGTTAACTACCATGACACTGGTTCTTGTTTACTTCCGTGACACTGGTCCTTGTTTACTACCATGACACTGGTTCTTGTTTACTAACATGACACTGGTTCTTGTTTACTACCGTGACACTGGTTCTTGTTTACTACCTGACACAAGTTCCTGTTTACTACCATGACACTGGTTTTCGTTTACTACCATGACACTGGCTCTTGTTTACCACAATGACAATGGTTCTTGTTTACCACCATGACATTGGTTCTTGTTTAATACCATGACACTGGTTCTTGTTTACCACCATGACAATGGTTCTTGTTTACTACCATGACACTGGTTCTTGTTTGCCACCATGACAATGGTTCTTGTTTACTACCATCACACTCATTCGTATTTACTACCAAGACACTGGTTCTTGTTTACTACCATGACATTGGTTCTTGTTTGCTACCATGACACTGGTTCTTGTTTACTACCATGACACTGGTTCTTCTTTACTACAATGACACTGGTTCTTGTTTACTACCATGACACAGGTTCTTGTTAACTACCATGACACTGGTTCTTGTTTACTGCCATGACACTGGTTCTTGTTTACTACCATTATATTGGGTCTTGTTTAATACCGTGACACTGATTCTTGTTTACTACCATGACACTTGTTCTTGTTTACTACCATGACACTGGCTCTTGTTAACTACCATGACACTGGCTCTTGTTTACCACTGTGACACTGGTTCTAGTTTACTACCACGACACTGGTTCTTGTTTACTGCCACGACACTCGTTCTTGTTTACCACAAAGACACTAGTTCTTGTTTACTACCATGACACTGGTTCTTGTTTACTACCTGACGCTGGTTCTTGTTTACTACAATGACACTGGTTCTTGTTTACTACCCTGACACTGGTTCTTGTTTATTAACATGACACTTGTTCTTGTTTACTACCATGGCACTGGTTCTTGTTAACTACCATGACACTGGCTCTTGTTTACTACCATGACTCTAGTTCTTGTTTACTACCATGACACTGGTTCTTGTTTAATACCACGACACTATTCTTGTTTTCCTAATGACACTGGCTCTTGTTTACTACAATGACATTGGTTCTTGTTTACCACCATGACTCTGTTTCTTGTTTACTACCATGACACTGGTTCTTGTTTATTACCACGACAC